CAGCAGTGACCTAGAGCCACTGCTGCCTTGGCACAGGCAGAAATATTACTCTTGATCCATGGAGAAGAGAAGGAGAACCTGATCTGAAGGGAAGGGGCTCCAGGGAAGCTACAGTGGCAGGACAAGGAGCAATGGGGAGAAATTGAAAGAGGGAAATTTAGATATCAGGAAGAAGTTTTTCCTTTGAGGGTGGTGAGACACTGGCCCAGGTTGCCCAGGGAGGCTGTGGTTGCCCCAACCCTGGCAGTGTTCACAGCCAGGTTGGATGAGCCTTGAGCAACCTGCTCTGGTGGGAGGTGTCCCTGCCCAGGGATGTGTCTGATACTATGAACCCCCCCAGGCAAACCTGTTAAGCTATCAGAGAGGGAGCTGTTTGCTGACAGGGCAGAGGTGCAAACAGCACAAATCCCATTTCCAGGCTGAAGGTCCTGCTGGGAGAAGCTGTTGCTGGGTGATAGCATCGACCTGCCCTGGTGTGTGTTCAGGGTTGTCCCTGGGAGCCATGTGGGTTTTGCAACATCTACCTAAAATACAGATTTTTTTCTCCAGGACATGGACTCACGGTGAAGTCTGGTTGGTTGCCCAGCTGGGGTGGGGAAGGCAGGTGTGTTTTGGGGGCAGAGGCAGGCAGAGCTGCTCTCATCATTCATGTGTGACACTTGTGTGTGAGCACACACACAGCTGAGCTCTGTCTGAGGTCTCATGGCCCTTCCTGTTGCAGAGATGAGCTCGACCAAGAGTTCTCCTGATGTACTGGCAGGTTGTTGTTAGAGGGCTACGTTGTGGAGAGCAAATATTCCTTCTGGGTCTTGCTGATGCTCTGTGGAGCTGATGTGTGTGTGTGTGCACCCCAAAGACTTGGTGTTCTGAGCCCTGCCATCCTCCCTGGGGTGACAGCTGGAGCACCACTGCTGCGTTTAGTTCTCATTTATTTAAGAGCTAATGAGAGGCCTTCCTGAGGGAGGAGGAAATGATGACAAACACTTGTGTGTGGTGGAGGAGGTAGTCATGGTGAGATACAGGATGGTTTGTGTTGGTTTGGCCTGGAACACTCCCAGGGATGGGAGGCCACATCAAGGCAGGCAGCTCAGCTGAGGCTCTCAGAGGGTGATTTTCACCCAGTTTCTTGAAATATGGATCATAGTATAGTATCATAGTATGTTAAAGGGCTGGAATGGACCTTAGAGATCATCTAGTCCCGACCTCCTGCCCTGGGCAGGGACACCTCCTACTACATGAGGTTGCTCCATGCCCCACCATCATTTTCTCCCACAAACCTTAGTGGTCTGTGTTTGAGGCACAGCAGAGGGTTTGAAGCATCTGCCACAGGGAGTGGGAGCAAGAGAACTTCTCTCTGGTGACCACTGACAGGACTGAAGGGAATGGCATGAAGCTGTGTCAGGGGAGGTTAAGGTTGGATATTAGGGAAAGGCTCTGCACTCAGAGGGTGTTTGGGCACTGGAACAGCTCAGCAGGGCAGTGGTCACAGCCCCAAGCCTGACAGAGCTCCATGAGCCTTTGAGCAACACTCTCAGGCACAGGGTGGGATCGCTGGGTGTATATTCAGTGTCAGGAGTTAGACTGATGATCCTTGCGGCTCCCTTCCAGCTTTGGGATCTTCTGTGAGGTAATTTGAGCAGGACTGGCCCTTCCATGCCTTTCCAGACTCACGAGCAGGTGGTTGTTTGTGCTGCAGCCATGAGAGGATGCCCTACCAGCGGCGCTACCGACGTGCCAGCGATGCCTACAGGCTGGAGGAGCACAGCCCTTCGCTGGCCGACGACTATTACCCGACGCGCTCGCGCAACTGGCGGCGATCGCGGGGCAGGGAGCAGCACCGGCCCAGGAGATACCAGCACCACTGCCGCAAGCGCAGGAGCAGGTCTTGTAGCAGTGCCTCCTCGGTGAGTAGCAGCCAGAACGAGCTGAGGGATGGGCAGGGTTTAACTGGGCTTTGCCTCCTTCCAGCTGGGAACACGCTGGGTGAGTACCTCGAATCCTGTTTCTGTGTTTTGTTTTCATTCCGTGGAATGTGAAGTCCCAACTCTGTGTGGTTGTTGAGTGGGAAACGGTCGTAGCTAGTGGTGGTTTTTTTTTTTAGGCCAGCCCTTGCAGGCTTAATACGTGAGGGTTCTAAGCTGTGTTCTCTCTGGCCAGAGAAGGGATCAGGGACAGCTTCCAGTGGCCCCCACGTGACAGGCTAACGAGGGTGAGCCTTGGCCGTGGGCCAGCCTGGCTCCTGCAGTCCCTCCTGCTTGGCTTGATCCATGGCCAGGGCTTTGCTTCTGCCTACAGCTGCTGCTTCTCAGGGGGGTTTGGTATGCAGCATTCCTCTGGTTGGCTTTGTGCCAGGATCCCCTTCCAGGTGGGATCCATCAGCCTGGGGCTCCGGAGTTGGGATTAACCCATTATT